GGAGGTCGGCCAGCCCGGGGGAAGCGGGGGAGGGGCTGTGGTTTGAATCTAGCCTCGGCCCGGGCCCCGGGGTCCTCGCCAGGCCCCCACCCCACCCCCAAAGGTCTGGGCAGGTGGGGGAGGAGAATGTCCTGCCCCCTGACCCGCCACCAGGAGCTCACAGCCTCTCCCACCAGGACGCTGGCCCCGTGGCCGTTGGTTCCACCAGGACTCAGTTCCCAGCCAAGCCTGGGAGGCCTAGGATGCCTGCTTCCCTGACGGTTTCTGATCCTGCTCGGCTGTGGGACTGGCGTTTGCTGAACTCTGGTCCTGCGCTTCACAAAAGGAGCCTCAGACTCCGCCACGGGGACTGCAGCCTCTGATACGCACTAAATATCGAGTGATGACAACATCCTGGGCACAGCCACTTCTGTCTGAGATTCCAAGGTTCTGGGGCGAGGTCCCTTCAAGCTCTCCTGCCTCCATCAGAGGCAGAGGCGGGGAGGCCTAGAGACAGCTGAGCTCACCAAGTCCAACCTCACTCCTCATCATCACCCCACCCCCATCTAACCCAAGACAGGCCATCTAGGGAGGCCTCTGCCTGCCCCAGGCACAGCCTAAGTGACCCCTGCCTCATCACCATCCCTGTTCCAGCCCCATTTTGGCCGCCACATGCCCTTGGCCACGCAGGACAAGCCCGTCCCACTTGCCGTTCAGTCTTGGGGGCAGACACATCTTTGTTCCCCGAAGTTCAGTCAAGATGGGGCAGGATGCCGGGAAAGGAAGTGGGCTGAATGCCCTGTGAGTGATGCCAAGACATGCCAACCTGTTGCTAGACTTGAGTTCACTCGGCTAAACCGTCGGTGCTCGGAGCCTCCTCCTTCCCTAGGCTGTCACATTTTTTTCTTCTAATTCTTACCAAAGTCCAGGCTTGCTGCCCCTCCCCCAGAGGAGCCAGGTGTGTGAGCTACCCGTTGGCTCCCCTGCCTCTACACCTCCTCTGCCGCCTAAAGCTGAACACCAAGTCGAAGCCCCTCAGGGCTGCCCTTCCTCCTGGCAACTCGGACTCCCTGACCCCTCCTCCCGGTTTGGTCCTCAGATGCCTAGCTTTCTCCCATAGCCATGTTCTGGCCTGAGCTGAGAGCCCACGCCTGCCTACGTGTGCCCCTGTCTAAGGTAAGATCCATCTACTCATCAGGGAAACAGGCCTGATGGAGAAGCAGGAAACCACTTCAGGACAAATGCCCAGATGCCAACATCCTCTTCAAATTTTGAAACTAAGCCTTGAACGTAGCAAGAAGGGTGGGAGAGCCGAAACCGGTTTGGCTCGGTGGATGGAGCGTCGGCCTGCGGACTGAGGGGTCCCGGGTTCGATTCCGGTCAGGGCAGGGAAACAGGCCTGATGGAGAAGCAGGAAACCACTTCAGGACAAATGCCCAGATGCCAACATCCTCTTCAAATTTTGAAACTAAGCCTTGAACGTAGCAAGAAGGGTGGGAGAGAGACATCATGAAGAACTCCCTGATGATAAGACATCAGGGAAGGTTGGGTCTGCTCAGAGATGGAAGGGTGGGGTAGGGGGTAGGGGAACGAGATGACCTGCAGTCGGTGGGAATTACATTCAGGGCATAAGATTCCTGGGGAAGGGACTCCTGTTTAAAGAAGAAAAGAACACAAAAATGTTTTCAAAACCTGAATATTCCCCCTCAAAAAATTCCTTCCCCAAAGCCAAACCTTGGCACAGGTCTGGAGAGGGAGTGATAGGAATTAGGCAACCAGCGGGGAGAGAACAGGGCATAAGAGTCTCCTGAAAATGGGAGAGTCCTGCCTAAGAGAAAAGGACGCAAAATAAAACTCCTGGGTAGCCCCCCTCCAAAAAAAATCCTCCCCAAAGCCAAACTCCGCCATGGGTTTGGGGTTGGGGTGGAGGCGGGTGACTCACCTGGGCCGGCTGGCCAGCCCCGGAGGGGGCGGAGTCGCCATGGAGGTGGGAGCAGAGGGAGCTGAGAAGGCACACGGGGTCCACGGTCCAGCCGCCAACCTGTGTGTGCGAAGCGGGGGACACCCCATTAGGGGGAGCGGGCAGGAGCCGCTGGGGGGCTGTGACGGGGCAGGAAGGGGCGTTCTCTCCCCCGGCAGAGGGCCCCTGCAGCATGACTAGTCCCTTACGGAGGGGAGGCGGGGTCTCTCAGAGCCCTTGGTCTGTTTCTGCACGTCTCCCTCCTGTCAGGCGTGGGGCTCCCTAAGCCAGGGGAGAAGTTTCCCCATCAGCTACTCCTGAGGTCCTTCTCTTCACTTCTCGAGCGCCTCCTCGCACACTCCGCCAGGGAGCTGCTCCCCACTTCTCCCCTCCTCCAGCTCTTTGTTCCCTCCTCACTGAGGGTGTCACTTCCTACCTCACAGAGATGAGAACCAGGGGCAGGGGGCCTCGACCAGCGCCCACTGTGCCCCTTTCCCCGCCCCGGCTTTCTCCCCGGCCTTCTCAGAGGGATCGACTCTTGGCCTCGACCAGCGCCCACTGTGCCCCTTTCCCCGCCCTGGCTTTCTCGGCCTTCTCAGAGGGATCAACTCCTCCCACCTCAAGGCCACAGCACACCTAAGGCTCAAAGCCCATCCCCTTCTGATTCCCATGGCCCTCTCCCCCTCCACGTCTTCAAATTCTCCCATCTTCATTCATTCCACAAATATTTACTGAGCCAGCACTCCGCGGAGACACTGAGCACTCCATGGCCAGCGAACCGGCCGTAGGTCCCGCCCACTTACACTCGGGGAGGGAATGAATGAGTTGATGAATAAAGGGATGAATTTGAGAGTGAATGGCTGCGCTTTGATTCATTTCCTACGTATTTACTGAGTGCCTCCTCACTGCCAAAGAACATGCCAGACACGGTTGAGGCCCTCAAACTCACCCACATCTTCTCTCACAGGCCTGCTGCCCCTTGTGGCCACCACCTTGGCTGTCTTCGCCTTTTTCTGGCTGAACCTCCCCAGACAGGTCTGCAGCCAAGGATCCTGCCCTTCACCACCTCCCATCTCCTCTGAAACTGGCCATGAGCTCACCACACCTGGAGACATGAGCTCTCAATCCCCTCAGGACCCAAGTATCCTGGCCGGTCCCAGTGGCCATTTCTCTCCCCATCCCCTGACTTCGGAAGTGCAGGGGGCCCTCCTGCTGGGCCTGTCTCCTCTCCCTCAGGTGCAGAACTGTTCCTGGCCCCCCTTCCCCAACTGCCATGGCCTCTTCACTCTCAGGCCCCATCCTGCCTGGGTGGCCAGGCTATGCACCAGGTCCCACTTCCATTCTGACTCGGTCGTGCTCAACCCTGCTCCTGAAGCTGTGGGCCCTGCAGAGCCTTGAGCTGTGCACAGTGTTTAACAGACATCCTGTGAACACCCTACCCGCTCCTCAAACTCTTCTCTCTGTTCCTGCCCCCACCCCACCCCCAATTCCCCTCCCAATTCTCTCAAGGCACCAACATCTCCCTGTCACCCAGGTTTTCCTGTCTTTGCCTTCTAGACCAAGGCAGCAAACAAGCCTTGTTCAGTCTTCTTTCCAACCCCCCTCCCCATCTTTTCCCTTTGTCCTCCATGACACACTCTTCTTCCTCTCCTTCTCCTGCCTCCAGCCACCCTTTTGTCCCTTGCTATTCACCCTGAAAAACAACCACAGCCCTTCTAGCTACCACCATCAGGCCCCACTTTTCCAGTCAGACCCCGCCCCGCAGCCTTCTGCACCAGCCAGGTGGACCTCTGTGCCAGTCCCCAATCCAGCTCTGCTCAAGTCTATGGTCCCCTCCGCTCCCCGACACCTTATAAAACACCTTTCTCCTCCTGATGCCTCATCAGTCCTTGTCATCCATCTACACCTAGTTTAGGTACCTCCTCCTCCAGGAAGCTTCCCCTGACCAGGGCTGCCAGCTGACCCCCCTCCTCCAAACCCTCTCCCAATGACTGTGCTCATATTTAGGTTTAACCATCCCTCCACCCCATCTAGATCACAAATGCCCCTGCTTCCTCTTCCCAAGCTGGAGCAAACAGAGGGGACCCACAGAGGGGGACCCCTGAGAGTGGGGACCACATTCCTTCATCTGTGACTCCCCCTATTCCAATCAGAACTCTTCTCCCAGGACAACTCTGGAGCTGGTTAAAAGCAAAAGCCAGACAGAACTAGAGCTGACGTCAGGGGACAGATAAGGCACCAGAAATGAGCTATGCGTCCTTATCCCCTGCAGTGAGGATGGGTAGGGACACCCTTCCCCTTCCCCACCCACACCCAGCAGTGCCTGCAAAGGGGGGACAGAGCAAGACAGGCAAGGGAGTGGGGACCGACACCCCCAGGCTGGACGGAGAGGATGCTGATGGCAGGGAGCACCCTCCCCGTGGTCCCTCCCTCCACAGTGGACAGTGCCTGAGTCTCAGCAGCCACCCAGCCCCTCACCCACGTGGGGCTGTAAGCAGAAGGCTGGTCCCAAGAGAGAACTTTCCTACAGACAAGACGGCCAGGTTTGGATGGAGAGATGCATCCAGGAACCCAAGGATCTGGGGGAGGCTGACAAGGGAAGCACCCCTCACCCCAAAATCGAAAGGAGAGCAGACAGGCCCTGGAGGAGAGGCAGGAGCCCAACCCCTCTCTAAGCCTTACTAATGGCAGGAGCGAAACCAAGGCACAGAGAGAGGGGGCCTCTCGCTCAAGGTCACACCGAGTCCTGGGGAAAGGATGGGGGTGGGGTGGGAGGGAAAAGACCCCAGGAGTTCAGGGCTCTGTCCCTGCCAGGCCTGTGGGCACATCAGATCCAGCCTCGTGAGGTTCCCACGGGGCCACAGCACAGAGGTGCGGACCCCAGGCCTCTACTCCGCCGCTGATGGACCCTCGGGTTCAGAACAGTCAGTCCCCAAGGTGTTCCCTCCTCCTTCCCCACCGCGCACGCCCTTGGCCTCCAAGGCTGCCTGCCTGCCCTCTGCACAGCCCATCAGCCTGAGTTAGGTGCCCAGTCCGGTGCAGGCAGAGGTCTGGAGGTGGAGCCCCATCCCACCCTCCCCAGGCTCCAGAAAAGGCCAACCGGGCCACTGCCCAACTCTCCCGCCCCAGACGCCCCTCACCTCTCAGAATCGGAATGAGCCTGGGGCAGGGGAG